TGTGACCTAGTTAGAGTGGATGTGGCCTTGTTGGAGGAGGCTAGTCGCTGGGGGTGGGTGTTGCCGGTTCAGATGCTCAAGCCAGGCCCAGTGTTGCTTTTTTCCTGCTGTCTGAGGATCCAGATGTAGATCTCTCAACTACTCCCGCACCACATCTGCCTGTGTGCGAGTCATGCTTCCCGACATGACAATGATGGACTAAACCTCTGAACTGTAAGCCAACCTCAGTTGAAAGTTTTATTTATAAGAGTTGCTCTGGTCAGCCTATGGAATGGGAAAAGATCTTTGCTAACCCCACATCAGATATAGGGATGATCTCCAAAATATATAAAGAACTCGAGAAACTAGACATCAAACTACCAAGCAATCCAATTAAAAAATGGGATACAGGTTTAAACAGAGAATTCTCAACAGAAGAATCTCAAATGGCGGAGAAATGCTTGACGAATTGTTCAACATCCTTAGCTATCAGGGAAATGAAAATCAAAATGACTCTGAGATACCATCTTACACCTGTCAGAATGGCTAAGATCAAAAACGTTAACAACAGCCTATGTTGGAGAGGATGTGGAGTAAGGGGAACTCCTCTCCACTGCTGGTGGGAGTGCAAACTTGTACAGCCACTTTGGAAATCAGTATGGTGGTTTCTCGATGTATCTCAAAACCCAGCTATACCAAACTTGGGCATATACCTAAAGGATGCTCAGTCATACCATAAGGACACGTGCTCTAATATGTTCATAGAAGCATTATTCATATTGGGGGAAACAACCTAGATGCCCCTCAACTCAATAATGGATAAAGAAAATGTGGTACATTTACACAATGGAGTATTACTCAGTGTTTAAAAAAAAACAAAACAAAACAATGACATCATGAAATTTGCAGGCAAATGGATGGACCTAGAAAATAATCATCCTGAGTGAGGTAACCCAGACCCGGAAAGACAGACATTAGACATGTGCTCACTCATGAGTGGATATTATATAAAAAGCAAAGGATAACCAGGGTACAGTCTACAGTCCCTGAGAAGCTAGGTAACAAGGAGGACCCTAAGAGGGACATGCAGATTTCCCTAGGAAGGGGAAATAGATGAGATCTCCTGGGTAAACTGGGGGTGGGGGGTTGTGGAAGCATTTCTTATAGGCTCATGTATTGAACAGTCCCCACTGTTGTGGTTGTCCCCCCCCCTTTGGGGGTCCACCACCCAGCTCCCAGATACATACACTTGAGACTCCTCTTAGGTATGAATGCCCGGCCTTAGCTTGGCTTGTTTCTTGCCAGCTTTTCTAACTTAAATTACCCTGTTTCTCTTTAACTGTTTTTGCCTCTGGACTTTTTACCTTTCTTTATTCTATATGTCTTCCAGCCACGAAAGGTCTGGCTAGAACACCCCCATGCACAAGATTAGTATTAGAAGAAAGGCAGGCTTGAGAACTCTGACATCAGCCTTGGCAGTCGGCTAACTCTGAACACTATTATTAAATGAATAAATAAATAAATAAATCAAACAGAAGAATCTTCCTCCTTCTATACCTTCCCAGAAGGCCTCCCTGCTGACTGTTTATTTCTGGCTCTTCTGCATAGCAAACATTTTCTCCATAAATATAAACACATATGTATGCATATTGTTATAGAAAACTATTTTAATCAAAAATAAGATTATGCTCCCCAGCCTGGTCTGAAACTTCCTATTTTGTGAGTGTTCTTCATGTGCTCACATCTGGACCTACTTCTGAGCTTTTTGATGGCTGAGTGGTATTTCCCTTCATGCCTGCCCCATCAAAAGACAAAAATGAATCACCTCCAAGGGCTCTTGGCTGATTGCACAACTTCATAAATCTATAGAAAATAAGTCAGCACTATGTATTATTTGCTACCATTTGTTTACTTAGCCAGCCCCGTGTTGTACACATTGAGATGTCTAAAGGCTGAAGGGAATGTCTTTAAACTTCACTTCCTCGTACAGCCACACAAGGAGAAAGTCTGAGGAACAGAACTGTGGGGACAAGGGGTTTGTGCATGTAACGTCACGCTAAGTATCCTCAGGTTGTCTGGAAAGATTCTGCCAACTTACATCCCACCCACCCGTGGGTTACCCGGGCCCCCCTAGCTCCCACTACTGAGTTATTCAATCCCCCTCCAGAACTATTGATGAGATTGACTGTGCTTTGTGCATATTTACTTTTTCTTCTGCTACTTTTCCTTCAAGATGTTTATTCGTGCACTTTGATTTTCCCTTTGGTTTAAACAAGCTTCCCCAAGGCGTTGATTGAGACTCAGGCAGAATGAAAGTTTTGTGGGCATTGCTGATGCAGCCAGCATTTCCACAGCCTCGACTTCTGCCTCCTTGACAAAAGCAAAGTGGAAACCAAGAAAGGACATGGAGAGTCACTAATTTTCTCTGGTCAATTGAGGAGCTTTTGTTTGTTTGTTTGTTCGTTCCTTTCAACCAAACAGAAATCATCTATTTCTCCAGCATGGAAACCAACTCCCCAAGAACTGAAACTTCTGATTCTATCATTTAATCCAATCTAATAATTACCCTGACTTTCTTTGGTAATTAGCGATCAGTGATGATAGATTGCAGACTGGTAAAGCACTTTTTAATTTTAGTTAATTTTTAAGTCTAGATGACTTCACAAGAAAAGAAAGAAAGAAGAAGAAAGAAAAGGCTCCTCATCTACCATTCCAAAGATCCAAATCTGTTTTGTTGTACCTTTGTATGTATATGTAAGGTGTATGTGTGTGTGTGTGTATGATGTGTATGTATGATGTGTGTGTGCCTGTGTGTATGATGTGTGTGTCTGTGTATATGTGTATGTATGATGTGTGTGTATGGTGTGTGTGTATGATGTGTGGATGTGTGTTTATGTATGATGTGTGTGTATGATATGAGTGTGTGTGTATGATGTGTGTATGATGTATGTATGATGTGAGTGTGTATGTATGATGTGTGTGTATGGTGTGTGTGTATGATGTGTGTATGTGCATTTATGTATGATGTGTGTGTATGATGAGTGTGTATGTATGATGTGTGTGTATGGTGTGTGTGTGTATGATGTATGTATGATGTGAGTGTGTATGTATGATGTGTGTGTATGGTGTGTGTGTCTGTGTATATGTGTATGTATGATGTGTGTATGTGTAT